TAAAGGAAATAACAAGGGAAGAGAATACATCATCTCACCACCAGCCGACCGATTTGTAACTCGCCCCCCCCCAGCCCGACCAAGCTCCGACCGATACCTCCTCCAACCCTGCAGTCCCCCAGCCCTTCCGGCTAACTCCCAGTTGCATCCTGGGCATGACGTGCTGTGGTATGGAATACCCTTTGGTCAGTTTGGGTCAGGTGTCCTGTCTCTACTTCCTCCTGGCTTCCCCTCCTCCCTGGCAGAGCATGAGGCTCACAAAGTCCTTGGCCAAACCTAAACATCACTATCAGCTCTGTTCCCAAGCTGAAAGTCAAAACACTGCACTGCACCAGCTACCAAGGAGGAGAAAAATGACTGCTACTGCTGAACCCAGGACAGTCACTTGTGCTATAAATCACATGACTAGATGCTATCTCTAAATTGCATCTGCTTCTTTGTCTTGCTCTTCTATCCCATATATTTTGGGTCATCTGAAAAAGAAGAAAATGCATCCTGATCACCCTGTGTCCCTGTCTCTGTCTGGATGTAAATTGCATGTTCATTGTCCAAATTATTTCTCTGTACATTAATTTTGATTACTGTATTTTCCATTAAAGGTTGGTCTAAAAGCAGAGCTGGTCTGGAAGTACGCAATGACTCCCTTTTTCACCCAAAACTTTAAGGCAAGCAGCTGAGGAATTTATTAAGAATGTCTTTGTTTCTGCAACCATCCACAAGAACGGGTGGAAGAAATCTGATGAAACAAGTCTTAGAAAATTAGTTGTTGAGCTACAGAGGCCCTATGAGTTTTCTTAGCTGTAGGTCTTTGTTTCTAGTCTTTCTGACATGGATCCCACACACATCAGTAATATGCAATTAGAGGTACTTGGAATCATTCTTTTTGACTAGGCCTTACCCTGCAAAGCAGAGTGGCCACAGCTAAATTGCCAATATCCCAAGGTCATGTCCATTCTCTACCTATGTCTAGAAATTGCATAGGAGAATACTTGTTAATTGGCACTGAAAGTCATGCCAGAAGCCACTTTAGTAAAAGCCACAATTAGTAAAAGAGATAACTGAGTACTAGTGCCTGGGAATGGTACTATTTAATTTTATTCAATAGCTGTAGTCTGAAACAGGTCCTGGATTTAATAAATCCTCAAAGTCACAGCTTTCATGGGTTGAGCTAATGCCCACTGAAGCTTCTAGTTTATGGCATTTATTTTTGTGAGACAAAATGATTGATTGATTTTGTATCTTTGGGTTGTTGTTTTTTTTTTCAAAAAAACTTTTCAAAGAGTCTGAAAGGCTGGTATGCTGAGAAGTACTGAAATACTTCTGGCATATGAATACTCCTTAGGTATCATTGCTTGCACTTACAAAGCTGGTTTAAAGGCAACTGTTGTCTTCAGGACCCAGTTGTCAGATTGCTTTGACATCAAACCTATGAGCAAAGCCTCAAGGTTAGCTGATACTGCCTCTCAAAAAAATGGGAGGGAGTCCAGAGTCTTTGTGGACATTACTGCCTAGAGTAGCTAGGCAGGCAATGGTAGGAAAAAGTGGTAGGAGATAGACCATGTTTTGTTGAGTTGATCTTTCAGACTATTTGTGTAGCCACTGGATACAATCACTGCTCTCTCTAAATGCTTTGCATTTTTTTTCACCCCCTTTAACTGCTAGGCACTTTTCAGTACAATCAGAAAGAAAAACACCTTGTTCAAAATTAGATATATTCTGCTGATGACACACACAACTCTGAATGAAATCTAGACCTCTTACCTTACCTAACCTATGCTGTGTTAACAGCAATAGATAGACCTGAAGATGAATTTCTTTTAATAATCTCATTTGATTCTGAAAGAATAGAGGGAGCAGGCTGCATTACAATGTGCTGTTGTCTGCACAGTCACTTTTCTATTCATAATAATTCCTTAATATTTTGAATTTCAGTGCTGAATTTATCTTAAAGATGATGACTGAGTGAAAATTTGTAGCATATGAGTAGAGGAAATAATGTGAGAGTCCCTAGGCTGCTCCATGCCCACATAGAAGCAATGTGGAAGTCTGTGCCCTTTGTCAGGTTGTCTGGTTCATATTCATGTACAAGTAGTTAATTTTACAGCATGAGTGATACCACTCTACATTCCGTCGGGTGGAATCATTAGGGCGCTAGACTCAACAAATTTATTTGACACACAGTTTATGACCTAATAGATGTAAATGTCTGCTGTGAAGCTAATGATAGATGAAGCAAGAGAACAAGTTATCTCACAAGATTTCCACTTTGGCTAGAAATAATCTATCCTGTGAAATGTTGACAAGTTCACTTCTAATTTTAGTTAGAAATTTGAGGTTGGAGTAGACAGTGGTGAAAAATAATGGAATGAAAATCTGTTCTAACTTTTCAAACTATTTCCTATGTACATTCTTAGCCTTGTTACAAGGTGCTTAGGGAGTTGCAGAGCTGTTCAATCTCTTTCATATTAATGGAAAAGCCCCATGTGCACAGCTTTTCTATGAACTATTTCTTGTGTTAAAGAGAAATCCTAGCTATTACTGTCTGTATAACATAGTTCACTGTTTTCTGCTGGTACATTTACAGATTTAAGTGTGAGGGAACCTTAACTAATTCTGAGCAGCTTTGCAGCAGTGTTTTCTTACAGCATTACTCTTCTGACAGTGTTTGATTAAAATAAAGGGAACACATAACAAACAGCCCTTAGTCTTCTACACTACTTGTCTTTGTACTGATCTCTCCTGGAAGGATATGAAAAAGTCTTTAAAGTCATATGGCTAATAATAGTAACCTGGACTGTAGCTCTGAAAGACAAGCAGATGAGAGACATGAAAAATATGTGAAGATGAATCCCACAGCCTCATGTATATCCCAAGACAGAATTTAATTTTACATTTTCCTAAAATCTGAGCTAGTTGTTGTAGGAGTCAATACAGTCAATGACCTTAAATCTGACATATTAAAATAATGTGAAAAACTGTAATTATTGTAAAGGACACAGGATAAAAATTTCATTCCAATTCTGGTATTTCAAAGAACCAACAGAAATGCAGCACAGCTGTCAAAATTTCTCAGTGGCTTCCAGAAATGCTTGATGTTTATGTTTCAGTTTAAGGATGGGTCAACATTCATTATAAATTAGAATTTATATTTCTTTAAATAAGTGAAGCATAGCTCAATTTTTAAAAAAACATCAAAAAAAAAGTTTAATTTATACCTAACAAAGCACTTGCTTAAAATAAAGGGAGGGAAAGCATTTTGAGAAGGCATGAGAAGTGTCTTCAGTATTCATCCAACTTCAGAGAGATAAGTAAAAAAAAAACTTAATATTTTATGGAAAACTATGATTTACAAGTAATACAGCTCTTACAAAAAGAACTACAGTCAGATTTAATTCCAAAATGCTTCATATGGAGAAAATTTTACCAAAAAGTATATTTTGTATGAAATAATTCTACACCAAAACTTGTCTTTTCAGGACCTTGTATAATTTAAAATAAATGTTGGTTTAGCTCAAAATATCAAACTTGATTTGAAAATATGGTGGGATTTTGGGGTGGGTTTTTTTGTTTTTTATTTGAAGCATGACATTTCCAATGGAAAAATCTTTTCTTTCACATATTTTCTGGACACACATTTTCAATGTTTCTGATTGATTGATTGATTGATTGATTGATTTAAAAAAAAATCAGCTGGATTTTTTTTTTTATAAATGTATCCAGTCATGAAGTTTCAGGCTTTTATTGCAGCTTTTGGGGTCAAGAATATCTATCTTCCTCATTCTACACCTCAGCTTTCTACTACTCTTTTCCCTCTACTACACTCAATTTCAGTTTAAACATATTTTACCAAGAATATGTGTTTCCTTTAAAGCCTCGATCATCAGGTGATTCCACAGTAAACGGGATACATTGTTCTGTCCCAGCACTTTTACACTGAAATAGCTCTTATTTTATTGAATATTAATCTTTTGTATATTAGTGAAACTGAGGAGAAATTTGTCTGCAGCATCACTCAGATGGCATGGAATTTGTTTCTTAAACAGAACTTTTACTTTATCCTTGTGATTTCTTGCAATGTCAACTTTGCAACATTCACTGCTTTCTGAAGTAGGTTTTTGTTTATACAGGCAACTTCCTAAGCTCAGGTAAGGTAATCTCCACAGAAGGGTCTGTGCTTCTTTCTCCATGAGTAACTGTTACAAGCAATTAGAATGATGAATGTGTATTTCCTTGTACATTTCTGAGTATGATTCAGAAGAAAGGAGTAATTGGAGTACCTGCACAACTAATAGCTTGACATATTTTTAAATTTCTAGAATAAATACTTAGAAATAATGTAAGCGAACTTTTAAAAAGTGTGCATAAGATATCTGGTGTTGTTGAGAATTATAAGTACCTACCTAGGATAAAGCATGTCAAAACTGAGTGTCTCTTTCTGCATACAATGTCTAAAGCGAGTGTGTTTCTCTACTCACAAAAAAACAACAGAAAAAAAAAAAAAAAACAACTATTGGAGGTACAAAATATATACTCTCTTCTTTGCTTTTGAAAAGTTTTGAGTGCACAGTGAAGTAGCACCAAGATCAGTGTGCATTTCTCTAGAACCTAAAGGGGAACTCGTTGGAACCATTATAGTCCTCCACAACACAATCTGACAGATCATACTTTGTCTCAGCATCTAAGTTACGAATCAAGTCTCCTTCTGTAATAGCAATATGTTACCGTCTTCAGCTCCATGAGTGGAAACTCCTGTATGTTTAAAAAATGTCATTTTTCTCTGTTACCGTTAGCTGACATTTTGCCTAAAATACACATCCATTACAGTAAGATTTTTTAAGGCGTGTTCTATAACCAATTCAGAAGTGATTAAAACCAGATAGATGTTTTAGGTATGCTGTCCATTTTCACTTTTATTCATTTTCAGTGACTTGAAAGTGCCTTTGCAAACTCAGTCTAACTTCCAAGCATCTGACTTGCTAATATCAAATGTTTGCTTTCAGATATCAACATGGCAGGAGAGCCAAAACCATACAGACCAAAACCTGGCAACAAGCGGCCACTTTCAGCACTTTACAGGTGAGATTTCATCTTAACTTACTACAGTTCAATTCTATTAGGAAAAATATTGTAACCTTAAATACATCTCCCAGTGTCACAGTGTAGGCTGTGAATGAGACCAAGGAATATTTTTTTCATTCATTCTTTGATGTCCATACAAAATACAATCAAATTCCTATACACACCGAAAAGTTTTGAGTATGAGACAGTATTGTAGTGTCTGACAGTATGTGTATCTATCTTTGGACTCATTCTATATTCTAACTTTCAGACATAATGACTGCCTGTCTTAAAAAACTTACTTAAGTAGGAGTAAGCACAACAAACAGAATTCCTGACTGATACTTAGATGCAGAGATCACACTATTCACATAATGCCTCCTTTAGTTGAAAACAAACACCAGAGTTTGTGTTTGCTCTAAAAAAGTAAAATACTTAGAATAATTAGATGATAACACAGGAATGCAGAAGAATAGATAAAATTAAATCAGTCACACAATAGCTTTATTTCTTAGTGAAAATACTTTATGCTTTACTGAAGCCAAAACATGCTTTACTGGTCTTTGCCTTCTTAGTATTCACACCATGGATGTTATTTGCTAGTGCAAGAACAACCCAAAGGATTTGTTTAACACTGCAAGAGGTATTACACATAGAGTCTTGCTATACTAAGAAGCTGTTTGAAAAGATGTTTGACAGTGACACTCCTTCAGGATGAAGTCGCAGAAGGCAAGCACTTTGCACAGGTTTTGTTCCACAGATACTAAAGCCACTGAGGTTCTGCTTGATGAATATTAAGTGCTGTAAGGCCGCACCCAAGTGCTCAGTCTCGAATTCAAGCTTTGAATTTAAGTATGTGTTGCATTAAAAAGATGTTTGTTTACTTATTCACTTATGCACTGGAAACTTAAATTTCCATCCGTACCTCCTTTCACTTTTTCCAAATGGAAAATGGAAATGCAGGAAAAGAGGACCAGACTTTAGGCCTATATCTTTTATGTTTAACAAAATTATACTGAAACACACAATGAAAATATAACTCTGTCATTTACTAAACTTACTATCAAAAGTCTGGTGTGGTTCATTAATGTTTCCACTTCTAATACTACAATCAATGGGATTTTTTTTTGTTTTCTTATTTTAGAGTTAACTAGGAGTAAGCGCAACAAGCAATATTTTGATGCTTATTGACTGATGTTTAGATGCAATGACCACAGCATGCACATAAATTTTAAAACTTATGCTTTATTGCTTGGCTGTGTCCTCATTCTTGTGACTTTTTTGTTTCCAGAAATCAATGAAATCATTAATCATTTCAAAGCAACAGAGCTGGTTTCTCATTGATTTGTGTGTCAAGGGTGAGAATCAACTTCTAACGAGACTGGTCTTCTTCCTTGAGTGTTCAGGAGGGCAGTTACAGCATCTCTCTCCTATTCCCAGATATCTTTTTTCATACAGTTTGTATAAACTTGAGGAAACCCTCACCTTTTTTTTTTTTCAAATACAATTAAGCTTAGTGAAGGACTACAGATTGTTAAGGGGATTGTTAACATGCAAACATGCACACATACCTTTGTGCTCGATAAACCTCACTTCTCATAAAGTACTACAGAGTTTATGCTCCAGATCCGTTAAAGGAGGCAGGACTGATTTCTACAGTGGCTGAAATGCAGGTAGACTGGCTCTGAGACCAAAAGCTCAGCAGTGAAATCAGACACACTTCAGCAGGACTTTTTCAAGCCTGGGTTGGTCTGAAAACTTCACAGGTGTGATCTCAGAATGAGGCAGCCAGGAGCATTTTAGATCTGAGCCTGCATGCTGCATAATATTGATGTGAAATTTTATCATATAGTTGCCTTTAATATCATACAGTTTCCTTTAACTGAAGTGATAGAAATATTATTTTTGGAGGAGAGAATACCACCTGTATTATAATTGCTCTCAACTGCAAGCTGTTGAAGTATGTAGGTGTTCCTGGTAGCAATGGTCAACTGTGTCTCTGTATCAGTATTTCAAAAGATTTTTGAAGTTGTTCTGTGGTTTCTAGCATTTAAATTCACTTCTGCCTTTGAGGTTCTGAATAGTTTCTCATAACTACTTGTTCTACAGACAAGACAGGGATAAGAGAAAGACCTGTTGTCTTGAGTTCAGCTGTAGCAGACATTTTTATTCTTAGTAGGTGCTGCAGTGCTGTGTTTTCAAGTTTAGTCTGAGAACACTACTGAAAACACGCCGATGTTTTTAGTTGTTGATAAGTAATGTTTACCCGGACCAAGGACTTTTCAGTCTCATGCTCTGCCAGTGAGAATGGGCACAAGAAGAAAGGAGGAAACAGATACAGGACACCTGACCCAAACTATCCAAAGGGTTATTCCATGCCACAGCATGTCATGTCCAGTATAGAAACTGGAGGCAGTTACCCAGGAGGCCAGATCGTTGCTTGGGTTGGGCTGTGGGTCGTGAGCAATCGTATTGTGCATCACTAGTGTTTATTGTTTTCTTTTCCTTTTCACCTTTCAGTTTTATATTCTCTCCCCTTGTTATTCCCCTTATCATTATTGGTGGTAGCAGCAATGGTTTTGTATTATAACTTAGTTACCAGATTGTTCTTATCTCAAACCAAGGGATTTGCATTCTTTCAATTCTGCTTCCCATCTCTCTGGGAGAGTTGGAGGGGGTGGAGTGTGTGCAGAAAGCTCATCAGCTTGCAGCTGCATGGTTCTGAGTTACCGTTTGGACTTAAACCATGACACCTGTGAAAATTTTTGAGGTAACTTTAAAAAGAAAAGAGAGGTTAGTTTGTGTCCTTTCATGGATCTAGTACAGACTATTTCTCTAGAAGATTGAGAGGCTTTTTTGAGCAACTAACAGAAGCTTTCATCTGCTGGTAATGGAGAAATTTCAGTATCTCAGTATTTGTAGCCGTAATAACATGTGAGGAGATCGATGGCTTATAAAGTCCTTGACAAGGCTGAGAACATTTATTTATTTCAAAATGTTGCCCTGGGTCTGGCTGGAATGAAGTTAACTTTCTTCATAGGATCCCATATGGTGCTGTGTTTTGGTTGTTGCTGAATGGTGTTTGCACAGCCTTAAGGCTTTCTCTTTTTCCTATTCTGCCTTCTCAGTGAACAGGCTGTGGTGGACAATAAGTTGGGAAGGAATACAGCTGAGGCAGCTGACCCAAGATGGCCAAAGGGACATTCTATAGCATATAAAATTATGCTCAAAAACAAAAACTGGGGAGGTTTTCTTTCCAAGGTAGCTGTTGCTTGGAAACTGCCTGGGCTGCTTGTGGGAGGTGGAAAGTAAATGCCTTTGCAACACTTGTTTTTTTCCTTCCTTCCCTCCCATATTACACTACATCTCAACCCATGAGGCTTTCAATTTTGCTCTTCCTACTCTCTTCTTCATCCCAACAGGGGACAACAGTAGTGGAGTGTGATAGTGACTGTGTGGGTGCTTAGCTGCTGGCCAGGCTCAGCCTACAAGATGAAGAAAGTTAAGAGGGTAACGGTTACCTTAGATTTGATTTTGACTAAGAGAGGAATTGGTTAGAAATTTCATTATCGCAAAATATATACCGTGAAAAGGGAGGACTGAGAGCAAAAAAAGTAGGATAATGGATTTCAGAAAGGATAGACTTCAGTGAGCTCAGACATCTGGTAAGTAGGATACCTTGGAAAGGAATTTTAGGGACAAAAGGAGTGCAGAAAATCTTGCATTAACTGTGCTTAAGGTAGAACAGAAAATTACCCTAAAGTAGAAGTAGAATAAAGGAATAATATAGCTTCCTGAAAAGTAAAAATGAATTGCACAAAATGTAGCATCAAAACCCCACGACTGGAAGTGGGTAGAAAAGAACAGCAGAGTCATCTAGCAGTATGTCAGAAAGGCTAAGGTACATCACAGCATAAAAGGCAACAAAAAGATTGCAATTAAAGTAACTTCCTTTGCTTTTTTATACTATTGTTACTTAGCAGGAAAGGAGAGAGATAGTAGATGATACAAAAAAGGCTTCTTTTGCTTTAGCAAAATAGGTTAGTTGACCAGCTATTTGAGAAAATCAATTTTAACCAGAGGGTATGGAATAAAAGGATTGACTAACCATTATTTCAAGAAGTCAATTCAATGGAAATGGTACAATGAGATCACTTAGAGTGTTTAAATGACTAGCTGAATATGTATATGGACTACTAGTTATTGTTTTCAAAAACTGATGGAGGTCACATGAGTTAGAAAACCAGTGTGTATGGGCAGGTATTATACCTATTTTTAAGAAGAGGACAACCCAGGAAATTATCAGGTCAGTACAGTTTTCATTCCCAGAAATGTACTAGAACAAATTATTAAGCAATTAATTTATCAACACCTAACAGCTACTAAGATGGTAACAAGTAAGGATCAAATTATGTTGAAGCCATATGGTTTCCTTCTCTGGCAAGACAGCAGGTTTAGTGCATAAAGAGGAAACAGTACATGTGCTATATGGTCATTTAAACAAGCTCTGACACCATATGTGGAGTTTTCATGGAATCATAGAATGGTTAGAATTCGAAAGGACCTAGAGATCATCTAGCTCCAACCCCCCCATGGGCAGGGACAACTCACACTAGAGCATATCGCCCAAGGCTCTGTCCAGCCTGACGTTGAACACTGCCAGGGATGGAGCCTTTACCACTTATTTGGGAAACCTGTTCCAGTACCTCATCACTCTCACAGTAAAGAATTTCCTCCTTAATCTATGTTGTGGGTTCAGCAGTAGCAGTCATTTTTATCCTTAGTAGCTTGTGCAGTGCTGTGTTTTGACTTTCAGCCTGGGAGCAGAGCTGATAACACCGATGTTTTAGTCTGACCAAGGACTTTCTGAGCTTCATGCTCTGCCAGGGAGGAGGGGAAGCTGGGAGGAAGCAGAGACAGGACACCTGACCCAAACTAGCCAAAGAGGTATTCCATACCACAACGTGTCATGCCCAGGATGTAACAGAGAGTTACCCAGAAGGGCTAGTTGACTGCAG